AATGCAGTGATCTGATTGGTGTGAGCAACATACCACTTGATACGCTAGCATGGAGGTTTTTTATAAATAGAGGATATTACATGGCCACATGGGGATACCAATTTTAACTTCGAGTGCTGTAAGTACCTCTCACAAGTGAGTCAAGTGAACAAGTGAGAGATATGTTCAGCACAAGAAGATAAAATTCATATCCCCGTGTGGCCATGTAATGTTCTGTTTATTTTAAAGATACTGATGAAAATTCCACATAAAACACAACTTCTTTTAAATTCATTTTCGAAACAGCAAAACAGTGCACTTAAAGTGGTCACCTATAGCAAAATGCCTGTCACTAAAATGTTATGAAACTCAGATATAAAGTTATAAAGGAGAATTAGAGACAATAATACTTATATTTTCTGTTCCAAAAAGTCAAAATTCAAATTAAGAGAAAAATTCTATAACATCCTGTTAGTAACCATGGTGACACCAATATCCTCACAAGTGAAAGATAAAAATAGTATCTTCACTGCGTGCGATGAAGATATGATTTTTTTTAGTAAAAGGGAAAAATCCTGGTATTTCATCATTGTCTAAATAAAAAAGAAAATAACTCCAAAAGCAACAGATATCTTTGACACCTTAAAGTACTTTTTCTTGCCTCTCCACTTGCACAAAAGAATCCCTAAACCATCTTTAACTACCACTGTTTCCCTACTACAAATTCAGCTACTATGATATTTGATGCAATTTCAAAACATCAAAATGCATGCATGCTCCAGCTGCTTTATATTTGAATTTCCCCTGAAGTACTAAGAACTGGGCTTTCAAACCAAAAGGATAATCAGATAAGATTACAAATATCTTCATCTCCCAAGATTTGATTGTTAATTCTCTCCTCTAGCTGCTATACTTTTCCTTGAAAATTAGTAACAAGAATTTAGTGTAAGATCAAGATAACCTTGAAAGTTTGAGAATTCTCATTACCTGTTTAGTGGAAAATGTATGGATATTATTGGGAGAAGTTACATATTAACCACTTCTAGGAGCTTAAGGGTTAATACATGAAAAGAAAAACCAAGCAAAGGAAAAAGACACAAATCTAAACAAAACACTCCAAAAGTAGTCTTAGATTTAATAATCCTTACCTCTTGCGGTGGGTATTCTCTCGTAGTTGATTTGAATTATGTCACACCATAGTTAGTCACACGTGGTCTCAATTTCAGAGTTTTCCAGGCATTCGGACAGAATTATTTCCATCCAAACACTTTCAAACTAGTGCCACCTTGTACTGAGAGGCTTCTGGACTTAAATCATTCGTTTTTTCCCCTGATTTGGTTTAAAAAAAGACAGTTTATTCCATCTTTCGCGAAAAACCCCAACAGTCACGCCGCGATATTAATTTACTTTAACTAGTGTCCAGTGTTTTATGTTGGATGATGCAAACGCATCACGCAACGCGTGACTTGCGCGGCAACACACTTAGCCAACGGTCTAAGATCAATGTCCACAATACTCCAATTCTAGTTCTAAGGTACAAACAAATTTGCAGTCCTTCTCTCTAACCTAAAAATAGTCCGAAACATTCAAAATCAGCGAAGCAAACCAAAAATGGTCTATTCAAGATTCGTTTTGAATTTTTGTATTCTTCTGATTCAAGAGGAAAGTTACACAGGTTATATCGAAAAACAAATGTTGAAAGTCTAATCATTGCATGTCATTACATCATGAAATACTTTTAAGAAATGGCTTTTAATTTGCGAAAAACTCTTCATCCGGATAATGTATGAAACAACAAAAAAGTAGCCTGCGTTGCAGCCGGACGTGTCACGCAATCCCCGGTATAGTCCGTCCATACAAGCGGTTTAGTTTAGACTGTATGCGACGCAGGCTACAAAAAAAGAGCCTAATTCTTTATTTTATCTTACCCACCCCTTAAGAGTATCAACTTTTGCCTCACCCCTCTCCTGCTTATTTTTCTTTTGAGTCATGTGATTACGTAGGATATTATTTTGCTCAAGTCTTCATCCAATCAGATTGAAGTGTAGCAGGTCACATGTTCAGTGAATGACAACAAATTTGATCAAAACGAAAACACAACTCCGTCGGTCAGCAGAAGACGGCGAGGAGGAGAAGGAGTTCGAGGTGATCAATAAGCCTGAATGAGAAAAGTGAACATTTTCTTCCATCGTAGGCGTTAAAGTGCTTTTTTTTTTGAGGAAACACGGTTCATCACCATCGGTAGAAAATCCCAAGTCGAATAGATTTAAATGACCGAAAAACTTAATTCTTCTTCGTCCGCTCCGATCGACGATTGTCGGAGGAATATGGAGCAAGATGGGAGCGATGGAGATGATGAACGGACTAGCGGACAGAGTGGAGGCGAAGCTGGCGACGTGGAGTCCTTTACGGACAAAAAAGACGTTCAAACTAGTGAAAACTGCGCCTCTGCCTCAACAGCCTCTCAATCGGTCTCTGAATGGAAACCTTTGCCCATTCGCAAGAAACACCGCCGCGGGTCAAGGCGAAATAATAACAAACCTGGAAAGAGATATGTACCCTACTCAAAACTTTCTTGGGAGGAGAAAAAACAGAGAGACGAGAGGGATACTAAAAGAGCATTTAAATTTCGAGAACAGTATATTAACGCTAAAGGGCGACCGACTGCTCCGTACAATACTACACAGTACTTAATGGCAGAACACGATCTAGAAGAACCAGATTTAGGAACACACTCTCATATGCAGTCCGATGGCGAGGAGGGAACCCCTCTGCGGAAAAGGGCTCCGTCTAACTCGTGTGACGATTCAGATTTTGACGACGATTACAACGAATCGCCCGAAGACGAGATATATGAACAGAAGTTTTTCGAGAAAGATTTCACGGAGGCGTATGAGCAAGTTCATGTGGAAAACTTGCATTCAATGAGCAAAAGCGAACTTGTACGCGAATTTATGCTTCTAGAAGAACGCATAGAAAACATGGAAATTAAACTTAAAGAAGCGGGAGGTATAGGAAGTGTATTTACAAGACAGACTTCAGCGGAAGAACTTTCAGGGGCTTTAAACGGCGATCACAGTCTGGACGTGGACGAGGACTCTAAACCGAGGGACGATATATTGCTAGCTGAATTGAATAGACTTCGCCAGGAAAATGAGCGCTTGCAGGTAGAAAACGAAGAAATGAGGAAAATTTATCGTAAATCTAACGAGACTAATGTGTTATGACGTTTTCGAGCAGTCATCTGCTGAAGACGCTGTAGTTGAGTTAAAGTTTCAGATCGGGCGCTACGAGGAATTCTGTGAGTGGTCAAAAACGTACACTATAAAAGGAAAAATCACTGGTTTGCTCAAAATGTAACTTAGGTACTATCAGAATTTCAATGATAAAGCGCGGTAAAATTTTGTTAATATATAAACTAAACCTGTTAGTTTTAAAATAAAATATTGGTGTGCAGTGATTCCGGAAGGTATCAATTGTGTATTCTTGTCCCGCTTTGTTTACGTTGAAAACGGGCCTGATATCGTCAAATCGAGACAAGACTTGTCCAAATTGATGTATTATTCACTTCAGTAGAAACAGGAGCAAAAAGAAAAAAATCATTTATAGAAACAAATGTGCACTGGTTTCAGCTGACGCACCCTTATGATATCAATTTACTTTCATTGAATAGCACTTAATTACATATTTGATATTTTGTTTTGAGACCAGGCAGATGCGGTCAACTTAATCCACTTTTCTCCATCCGCCTTTTTGGACAACAAGTATTCTAGTTCAAAAATAGTTTTGACTTTCAGTCCATCAAAGCAGTTCTTCTTTTCTTACAATTAGTAAAAGTCAAAATTTTTCAGTAACTCTGTGGCTTGTGGTGTAACCCTGGAAACTTGACAGATCTGAATGAAGAAAAGTTGCCATTTCATTTTCTGCTTCAGAAAAGTTGAGCAAATAATTCATCTCAAGTTGGAAGTACACTGAGAATTAAGGTCAGTGAAAAAAAAAAAAAGAAAGTTTAAATGTGTGGAATTACATGCAGATAATCTTAGTGTATTGTAACTCAGCTGTGGTAAACAACTGGTCAGGCAAAACTGGCCAATATAAAGTTGTGCAATTCAAAGCTTAACCTTTCAACTGTCATAGTTGATTAACATGCGACTTCTCCCTATAATATGGATACATAATCCAGCACAAACTGGTAAGAATACTCAAAGTTATCAGGTAGGTTTTCTACTGATCCAACTAAAAATTCTTGTAAATAATTTAAAAAGAAAGGTGTAGCAGCTAAAGGGGAGAAGTAACAAGCAGATTTTCAGAGCTAAGTGGTTAAAACCATGTGTAGATTCAAAGCATGACTGCAGATGTTCAGAAGCAAATGTTGAGAACAGAGTTCAAACAACAAGAAAACAGGATGGCACCAACAAATGTGGCATAACAGCTGTTGTAAAACACAGAGTATCCATAATACACAGACTGATATCTTTTGCAGCTGCTTTGTTATCTCCTTTTTTTCGCAGTGGTAACAAACTAGAAAATCAATTTATATTTTCCCTGCCAAATTTTTACTAGCACATGGGCAAACACCTGGGTTGGTGATTCTATTGGATAATTGCATCCAGACAAAACTTTCTCATCCAGTTTCAGGTGTTAATTTAGTAGAAAGAGATCCTTGCAGTGATGCAAGGAAGGGTTGTGCTGCGTCTTTCCTGTAATTTTTGCTTTGTTCTATTTGGGATTTCCATAATGATGTGCACAAATTAAATACCTGAGACTAACTGATGTTTTATTACTTAACTAACCTCGTTTAGAAAAGAGTTCAAAGTAGTTAATGGTTCAAAGCAGTTAATGGTTCAAAGCAGTTAACAGTGAACAGAGCTTGAAACAGTTATGTCAGGGATTTTTGGCAATATAGCACATTTGATTTACATTTCATTCTTTGCAGCAACTTATAGGGACTTTTCAGAGTCAGGATGGTAAAAGAGAGGAAGAAATCAATTAAAATCAAATTTTTATTTTAGTGAAAAGTCTATTAATGGCCGAATGTGTTTACAATCTATTAAGGTGTCATACCTCAACCTCAACACAACGTGCGTGGGCAACGTTGAGCTAAAAATGGAAACTTAATTTATTCACTGTTAGCGTTGTTTTTATAGGACCAGGCAAATTTTGGTGATTTGCAGAGGGCAGCAAAAAAAATGTAGAAAGTATTAGCAGGCACATGCTGGGCTATTGGCTACTCATTCAATCTTTGTTTTGCCATGTCCTCATAGCCTTTTTTTGTCATGGTTTGCTTGAGGTTCCTAATGTAACAACATACTGTCAGCTTTGACAATACTCAGCATCAATGTGACCTACCCTAAAAAGAACCTGATCAACTTTGAAAATTTAGAAAATCACAGGAAAAAAAAACCACTACAAAGATGCATTGCAGAAGTAATTTTATTGTGCTCTTTCGTGTACAGAGTGGTCACAAGTCATCGTGGTGTATTTGCACTAAAGTTTGCATATCAGATAAGTTGGAATAAGGTCCAATAAAGAGCACTTACGATATAAGTTAAGCCTAAAAACAGGCAAATAAAATTACGATTGCTTTTCAAAACTTTGATTTTCTGAGACAAAATTTAAGCAACTTAGTTCTTAAAAAAATGCACAACAGCAGTCGGTAGGGACAGTAAGGAGATATAACCAAATTGGAACTGACTTGGTTATAAAACAGAATTTGAGTTTGCATGGACAAATATGGGGCCATTGACAACAACATGTTTTAATGTATCAAACTAAAATATTTGCCACAACATCACTTCCATACCACTTCAAGGCCCCTGTCTATGGTAGCTAATCTCCACTTTTTTGTCTTCAATTGCAACCAATGCAAATAAACACACACAAAGGACATTTATTCTGTTTTCTTGAGTTCAACACTTCCTTTGAACAACACCAAATACCACTTCTGTATTATCTTGCCTTGCTGCACTTCAAACATTTTGAGTAATATAGCAGTACTGCACAACCAATATATGGTTTCTCCACTTCCATTCCCAATGAAGAATGTCTTTTTGTGGTTTCCTCAATAAATAAGATGACATCAGATCACTACTCTGTTAACAGACTTTCTATTTTCTCTCTGGTCTTTCTCCAGAGGGTAAGAAAAAAAGCTGCTGCAAAAATGCAAGAGGAATGAGAGAAGGGGATGATTTTGTTTACTTGTGCAATGTACTTTCTCATCCAACTTTAAGAAGGCTATGGGCAAACCAGCTTATAACTCTCTTAATCATTTTCTAAAATCTCTTGCATTTCCGCCTCATTTCCATGTGAGTCTTAACTAACATGACAGCTAATCGCTGTCTTCATCACTCTCTACAATCTGTCGGCTTTTCTTCTTCTTCCTCTGTGATCCTCCTCCTTCACTGCTTGTCCTCTTTCTTCCCTCGAAATTGTCTTCGTCACCTTCCTTAGCATTAAGTAATCTGTCCTTTCCCTCTTCCTCTTCATCGCTCTCTAAGCCTCCTGCCCCTTCATCACTATCCTCTGCCTCATCTGACTCGCTTGGAAATCCTGCAGCAAAGAAGTTCTTGTACTTAATACATTTTGGATATCAAAATGCTACAGTAAACAAAATAGTAGTTGATGTGTGATCAGTCAACTTTATCACCTGAGTGTGACTAGAAGAGAGCTTTCATAACCTCTGAACCACGTCAGAAGTGACCCCATTGCGGGAAAAACAATAATACTTCAATTCAAATTACTTGAATTCTTACATCAATGTAGAATTTTTTAAAAAATGGAGGCGGAATATCTTCAACTTCTGTTTTCACCATTTCCTTTTCACAGCCTGATTTTACATCATACTGCTTCCAACGGACACAAACCCCTTACTTTCAATGGAAACAAACTTACATACAGTATTAAACAAAATTTTCTTCACTACATTTTCAACTATTGCAAGAGAGGATTAAGCCCAAATGACTGGACAAGTCAGCCCTTGTTTAGCTACACAGCTTGGTTGGTAGAGCAGGAAACTATTACAAAAAGAGCCATGGGTGAAATCATTTTGAAATGTCAAGGTTTTTTTAACATGCAACCTTCCTTGATTGCACAGTTTGATCATTTCATTTCCCTTGTGCCTCACCCTCTGCTAACTTCTTCTTGTACTTTTTCTTTATCGCCAGCAAACTCTGTTCTAAGTCTTCTCCTTCATCCTCATATCGATCAGGTTCCAGAAAGCTGGCACTCAACCCTTTAGCTTGGTGTCTCTCCTTGATTCTACGCTGTTGATTTTCACGACGTAATTGTGTCCTGAGCCTCTCGTCCTCTTTCTGTGTACATTTATCAAAAAGAAGATTTAATTGGCAACACTTCCTCCCTTCTAGTTCCACATAATTTCTGTTTAAATTACTTTTGAGAAATTTTCATAACTAATTCATTTGCAAGTGAGGACACACATATTTGTTTATCCTTAGGATCACACATAATGTTCATACCTTTATAAGTTCTGATCTCTGTGCCTCAGGATCCATGCCAGCTGCAGGGAGTATTCGTATCTTTTGTGCTTTAGATGCTCGGTCAGCAATGGATAGTGTCATTTTTCTATGAGTCTGGCTGGTTGTAGAGTGGGGTCTGAAAGTGAGCTTCTCTTTAAATACTGATTGGCCTTGGAGACCAGTTCCCTGGAGAAATTAGAAACGAAAAAAACGAAACAAGAAAATCAACAGAATAATAGTAACTCTGACTAGCTGAGTTCAAAGTGCATACTTTTCGTTAGAGACCAATTTTTTCCCCTTCAATTCCAACCAATTTTGGAAAGGTTTGGTTACCATGGGGCAGACCCTGCTGTTTGCTAAAAAGAGCTTCAGAATCACCTCTTGATCAAGCCACACCCCCATCCCCCTTCAATCACCTCTACACAAACATACACACACTATCCTGTCATTGCAAGAAATCTGGAGTCATGCAAGTGGTTAAAAAAAACCCACTAAGCTAATGAATGGGGGAGGGGGAGGGGGGAATCACCAACACCTTGCCTCCCCTGCTATTTGGAATCTAAAAACATGGCCAGAGTCACAATTTGATAAATACTTTCAAACAAGGGTGATGAAAATTACATACCCTTAGTTTCTAGTCAGAATATATTTTTTGTTTGGCAATACAGTGTGGGGTGCCATTACCGCCAATATTCAGCTACTGTTTTTTTATAAAATGGTGCTTAAGATATGAAGCCAATTATGTTTTATGCAGCTAATCATTTTATAAAATGGTGCCTTAAGATATATGGAGGGCTTTTTATGAAGCCTCTTTTATTCAGCTAATTATTTTATAAAAGGATTAGCTGCATAAGTAAGTAAGTAAGTAAGTAAGTAGACTTTATTGGAGAGGGTGACATTTGACAGTAACTAAACTGATTACCTAATGGCCCTCGAAGTAAATACAAGAGAAAATCAATAAAAAACTGACCTACAATCTAGCAAACATAATTTATATAAAAAGGATATAAAAACTACTAGATATTAATAAAAGACTGAGTAATAAATTGATTTTTAAAAATTGATTTATAGAGTGATTCTTTAAAATGTTTTGCGCTAGGACTACATTTAAGATCTAATTAGCTTGTTCCATTCTTGGATTGCTCTTACGGTGAACGTCTGGCCACCTTCTGTACATCTCTTGTAGTGAGGACAACTTAAATTTAGATTACAGAATCTGGTTTTTTTATTATGGATGTCAGAGTTTTTGATTAATAAGGCATTTATATATTCTGGAGTATTACTATCAAGACTTTTGTAGGTTAAGGTACAACAATTGAAACATAATTGGTTTCATAAAAAGCGCTCCATATTTTTTAAGGCATCACTTTATAAAATGATTAGCTACATAAAACATAATTGGCTTCATAAAAAGTGCTCCATATTTTTTAAGGCACCAAAATGATTAGCTACATAAAACATAATTGGCTTCACATCTTAAGCACCATTTTATAAAAAACAGTCGCTGAATATTGGGGGTAATGGCAGTCCATAACACAGCACTAGTGACCCATCACACTTGTCCTCTAACAACTTTCTTTGATTCATAACACAGACCTGCTGAACAAAGAGATGGTTGCAGTTGCCTTCAATCTTATTTTTGTGAACATCAAACACTTCTCCTAGCAGTAATGATGTTGTACCATCAGACCAACGAACAATTCTTGCATTGCTTTCTTTAATTTCATTTCCCTCCTCATCCTTTCTGTACCTCCACCGGATTGTGTTTTCCACCTGAAGGAATGAAGAAAATATTTCAAACTTATTGGTATAACTTAAGGATAAGACATTTCCATGATCTACAACTTTTCCAAACCTCAAAATCCACCCTTAGAAGTGCATGCCTGAGTGGACTGACAACCCCATTATACAGAAATTTGCAATAAATCCTTAATACTTAAAACAAAAAGAGCAATATGCACATTACCTTAAGCTTCAGTCTGGCTCTTCCCTCTTCATCTAAAACTTCATCTTCTTCCATTTCATCTTCATACAAAGCTGGGTCAAATGGTTTGTGTTCAATGCTCAGAAAGTTTGGCATCTTAACAAAATACAACTCAGAGCCCAAAGAAAATTGACAATATGGAATGGTGACATCAATTCTTGTCTCTTCTTCCTCTTCTTCTTCATGGGGAACTTCATCACCATCTCGAGCTTCAATATCTTCACCAACTTGTTCTTCTTGTTGTTCTCCAAGCTTTTCTTCTTTTTCTTCATGCTAAAACCAATAAAAATTCTGCTCAAGACTGTAACAAAATTCTAGAAAGCAATTGGCCATGAGCTTCTTGATTTGAACACTTATAGGAGAGCATAAATGTATGCCTTATGCTTTCAATCAGACTAAACGCATGGTTACATGATTCTGACCTCTTCTTCATCTGACGACAGCTCCTCATCATCTCCAAATAAATCTGCAGATGACACTTGAGATTGGAGCTTGAGTTTTGTCACATCTTTCTGTACACAAAAAATTGAACACCCATTTAAAAACAAAACGATATACATGTCTCTGATCAAGAAGTATACAAAGTAATTTACCATTTAATTTTTTTTTACCCTTTGGAGTTGAAAAATACTGCACCAACCAATCCAAAAGTATCTCAGAATAAAGGCTTGTTTCCTTACAATGGTTATTACTTGTTTCCAGATATTGCTTTTTGCTACAACTCTGCCATTTAAACCCTTTACACCCGAACATCAGTATGCAGATTCTCCACACTGTTCTCTAATTTAAAAGCAGGGTTCATGCATCTATTTGTTCATAGCTAACAGCAGGCGAGTCTTATGTACCAATCCTCCAATCCTCACCTCATTTTCATCATCATTATCATCATCTTCTCCTTCCTCGTCTTCCTCGTCCTTTTCTTGCGCTGTAGTTGTTCCTTCTTCCTTCGCGTTTTCATCACCGCTCTCCGCTTGCTCTTCACGGTCTGACTCAGACGCCTCCACGCCTTGTTCGCCCTCATCTTCCCCTTCACTGGGTGAATCACCAAACAGCTCACTCAACTCAGCATCTCGCTCTGCTCTTTTGCTTTCTTTGACTGATTTTCCTTCGTCTTCGCTATCTTCCAAATCGCTCCCAAACAAAAAGTCTTCCATCGACATTTTGACTTGGAGGCGACAGAAAGAACACTTGGTCAGCGATCTCTAAAGTCTTCAATAGTGTATCTGTGTAAAATTACCCATTTGCTTGGCGTTCAAAATGACAAAAAACAAACTTATTTTATTCATCTGTGGAGAAATTAACTGTGATTTCGTTAATTGTTTTCATTCGTATTAGATTTATGGCCAAAAAAAATTTAAGATTGATAAAATAGAGCACAATAGAGCAAGTTATTCATGTTGCTTGCGCGTGTATATCACGCGCGAAAAACTCGAGAATAGCCTCGTTTTGAATATTCCACATGTCTCGAACTAAAATGGCGGAAACGGCAGTTGATTTCGAAGCAGAAGTGAGTGCAACAAAAAGCGAACAAGTCGCGGTCATTCCTGGATTGGGAGACTTACCAGTCTCTAATAATCAAGTGTTAAAAGGTAAAAATCAGTCAGGAGACGAAAATAGTCACACACTGCCGTGTGAAGACAGTGATGACCCCATGCGAGCTGGAGACAAACCGGACGCTTGTTTGCCGCCGCCAGCGAAGAAGAGAAGGCGATCGACAAAGCGGAAAAGCGACTCTCTTGGGGCAAGTGAGGCGAAAAATCCTTTGATGCAACTGAACGAAATACGACCTGGTCTTACGTATGATATCACTGTTAAAGACGGTCAGACACATTGCCCTGTGTTCTTCGTTTCTGTGAATGTTGATGGAAATACCTTCGAGGGACAAGGCTCAAGTAAACAGAAAGCGAAGCACAATGCAGCCGAGAACGTGTTAAAGTCTTTTATTACTCAGATCCGTTCACCCGCTCATCAGTTGGTCACGGGAACTCGCGACGTTACCACAGACTTTACTTCCGATAATACTGGATCACTTCTGAACATATTTGGTAATGGCGATCAGCCGATGGAGGATGAAGTTGTAAGTGAGAATCCAGGTGAATTTGGAGTTCCTCCAAAGGGTGTCACGAAAACTCCAAAGGTGCAAACTGAAGCCGGAAAGCATCCAGTTTCGCTTTTAAATGAGTTTCACCCGGGGCTTAGTTATGAATTTCTCGGTGAAGAAGGAGAACAAAATGCGAAGCAATTCAAATTTAAAGTCACAATCAACGGCCAAGATTTCCTAGGACACGGTAGCAGTAAAAAGAAAGGCAAGGCCAATGTTGCATCTAAGGCACTTTTTGCATTGTACAACATCCGCACCTTTTATGCATTTGGCCAATCAGAAGCAAGGCTGCAACCTGTGTACTTAGAACCTCCACCATCAGCTCAACTGGAGCAGGTTGCCGCAGATCTGATTGCTGATGCTGTTCTGGCCAAATTTCAGAGTCTGCAGCCAACAGCAGGGGAACCAATTAGACGCAAAGTTTTGGCTAGCATCGTTATGACAAGTCGAGGTGAAAGTGAACAAAAATTCGAGGTCATTAGCATGGGAACTGGAACCAAGTTTATAAGTGGAGAGTACATCAGTGACCAGGGACTTGCAGTGAATGATTGCCATGGGGAAATAATTGCTAGAAGATCCTTCGTGCGATTTTTGTACTCACAGCTTGAGTTGTGTGCAGAGGGATATGAAGACGAGTCCATATTTGAGAAGAAAAAGAGTGGATTCTTTGGTGTGAGAGAGAATGTGGAGTTCCACTTGTACATCAATACATCGCCATGTGGTGACGCTCGTGTTTTTTCTCCACATGAGCCGATCATGGGTGAATCTGATAAGCATCCTGGAAGAAAAAAAAGAGGACTTTTAAGAGTAAAGCTTGAAAATGGAGAAGGTAATGTTTCTTCACATTATTTTGGTAGTGATCTTGAGTGTAAAAGTCAAGGAGTGGGTCATTAACTCTCTAACTCCCATGAGTGACTAAGACAGAATTTCTCCTTACAATATCAATTGATACGATACCGACAGACAAGCGATGAGAATAAAGAATTTGATTTAGTTGATAAAACAACAATTCTCAAATGACTTTGAGAATTGGTAGTGGCATCATGGCAATTACCGCCTCCCGGTTAGCTCAATGGATAGAGCGCTGGACTGTTGTGCGGGAGGTCGAGGGTTCGAGCCCCGGCCGGACCAACACTTAGGGTCTTAAAATAATTGAGAAGAATTTGCTGCCTTTCTATAACATCAAGAAATGGTTAGATATTCTAGTCTTCTCGGATAGGGACGAATAAATGGAGGTCCCGTCTCCTGCAGGGTTGGGGTAGGAGACGTTAATTTCCCACACACGAGATTACTGTGTGATGGATGTCCTCCCCTGGGGTGGGATGGGTGGGATATTGGGCGCACTTAATTTGGAGCCTCGCTCTGTTGTGCGACCCTCACCACACTCTGGTGAAAGTGATTAAATAAATCATGGGAGTGAAAGGTTAAGTGTCCCTTAACACAACTGCTGTGCTGTTTCAGTTGCTGAGATATTTTTCCTCTCCTCCTTATCCATGAAAATGATGAGAAAATTTGAGTTGTTGACTGAAAGTTAACAGTGTCAGGGAAGTGAATTGTTGCAACAAAAGTAGTTTGTGGACTTTTCTCTGGCAATTATGACAATTTTGAGCTTGCCAGAGATGGAATTTCACTGAACTTGCAGCTAATAGAAAAACTTAAGTTTTTTTTTTTTTATGTCACATGGATGATGTTGGGCTCAAAAAGGGCAAAAACATTCTCATTTCTTTTTAGATGTGGTTTGTAGTGAATATTCAATAATTTTGTTTTGAAATTTTTTGTAACATAAGATATGTAGTTTTTCATCTTATGAATAAAAAACACTATTATTATTATTACTATTGTTATTATTCAGGTGCTAGTGAAATCAAATAAATGTATTACTATTTTTCCATTTGGTAAACTGTTTATTTTACCTTGTCAGGCACTATTCCTGCAATGAAAGCTGACACAACCATCCAAACTTGGGATGGTGTCCTTCAAGGCGAGAGGCTTCGCACCATGTCATGTTCGGACAAAGTCTGTCGTTGGAATGTACTTGGGGTGCAAGGGGCACTACTCAGTCACTTTCTCGAACCAATATATCTACAGTCAGTTGTTCTCGGTAGCTTGTACCATTACGAGCACATGTCAAGAGCCATGTATCATCGTCTTGGTGATCTAGAAGGGTTGCCTCCTCTCTTCAAACAGAATCGTCCACTCATGAATGGAACAAGTACCCCAGAGCCGCGCATGACAGTGAAGTCGCCAAACATTAGTGTCAATTGGAGTGAAGGAGACCAGGGATTTGAAATTGTAAATGCTACAAAAGGAGTGATTGGAGATGGACAGGCGGTGTCAAGGCTTTGTAAACAAAGTTTGTTCAAACGTTTCATTGTGTTGTGGAAGAAACTAAGACCAGGAATTACAGGGCCATTGTCATACCATGGTGCCAAAGCAGCAGCTGGTCCGTATCAAGCAGCTAAAATGATTGTGATGAAAGGATTTGAAAGCCAGGGTCTTGGTACATGGATAAGGAAGCCTGTGGAACAAGATATGTTTGAACTGTCTGACGAGGATCTCTAAACTGAGAAGGTGGAGATCAAGTTGTTGGAAGTGTTTCAGAAAGGAAATATGTGTCTAGTAAAAGTAGGTACTTTTGGTGCAGAACATGGTATTTCTTGCCTAACATTTTCAAGTTTCTTCCCACAAGAAATTACTTTAACTTCAAAATGATTGTAGTTTGCACCCTACTGAGTCAGGTTTTACAGGGATTATGAACACAGCAGAAAAGAAAGTTTTTAGTGAGATCCCTTTTTAGATGTACTTATATGGAGCATTTGGTAAAGATCTCAGTCAAGGGACGTTATAGATATTATCAAGACTGTGAAGTTTCATTTTCATCTCTGTTTCATTAGAATGCCTTTTAATATTCCACATAAAGATCATACAACTTTTTGCAGGTGTAAATTTTGTCATCCTTCTTGAAAAGAAGTTGCATATAGGCAGTCCTTTGTATAGTCATTTAAGATTCTAAGAAAATTCCCAGTAAATTAAGTATGTTCACACAGCTTATAGTGATCTAAGCATTTTGTTTCTAAATATCTTTTTCAATGTCTTTCATGTTTGTAGACAATGTAAACTAAGAAACTTGGTCCAAAGGGTCCAATAAAGTTTAGCTATGTATAAAACAAGGAAGAACTGGACGTTTACTTAGTTGGATGGCAAACTGTTGTCTCCTGTTTTTTGTTTGTTTGTTTTTTTAAATTTACTTACCTTTCTCAAAATATTTTTCACTGGCATTAATTTGAGGTTGTTGATTACTTATGGACCAGCTATTAAATGGTTGAGATGCACAGAAACTTATTAAATTGAAAAAAAAAAAGGATTCAATTGTAATTACCTTCTCTATCTAATTTTTCGCTTCCTATTTCCTCCCTGTTCATGCCTTTTGAGCATGGTACTAAAGAAATGAAATAATGAAGATTCATACAAAGTGAACAGAAACATCTGAAATACTAAAGTTGGGTTTTTATTCAGTACACTTCAGTAAGAACATTTATTTACAAAATGTTAACAATTAGTGAGAAGTCCAACCAACAGGAGGGCCAAGTACTGAGGACTCACTGTCCCTCCTTCTTCTTCTTCTTCTCCCCCCCCTCCACACACACACACACACACTACTTGAACCCCCTTACGATCAAGACAGGTTTATCTTAGGAAGTGAGTAAATTTGGTCAAGAGAAGGATGGAGAAAAGACTGAGAAATACTTTTAAAATTGTGTGTTGGAAAGAAAAATTGAATAATTTATCCAAGAACACTCACTGGTGAATGCATTTCATACAAAAATAAATTAAAGTGAACCTACATTTTGTAAGACCGAATACATAATTGAAATTCATGAAAAAAGAGTGTGTTTGGAAATTAACCTCTTTTCAATTCAATTTGTCAATAAACAGAAAATTGGCTTCTTGCCCTTCTAAGGTTTGTGACAATTTGATCAGGAACTAGATTGCTTTACAATTACAGCCAAACATTGAGAATTGTCTTGAGTAGTGATGCTGTAGGAAACTATTACAAATACTTTATAGGTCCAACTACCATTCACAAAATACATGACGAATAAATAACCTCTTTCACCCAAGTGTGAAAGGAAACCTCAAAACTAAGCCCTTTTTTTACCCTTTGGCGTTTGATTTTAAAATGCAGCGTTTCTCATTTTGGAGACTTTTTCCAGTATAGACACGTGACTTGCAAAAAGAGGAATATTGCCGCTGACTCTCTGCCACCGCACTGCGGCCGCATCGTCTCCGGCCTGTGAATGTAAATGAAATCATTTTCAAAATGGCAAAGAAGTGGTTTCATTGAGAGGATTTGGAGCGTGGAGGGGGGGTTGGGGGCGAGCTCATTTCCCAAACAGCAGCTGGTCAGTCGAGTATTCATGTATCAGGACAATAAGAATGTGGCAACCGATGTATGGTAGGGAAAACTTTTCGACCGAACTCGGTCGAAGTTGGTTTAAAAAATAACGAAGGTTTTAGATGAGTCCGGGATAGAAATTCCCCGTACAAAACGAGAGTAAATAGCCTTCCCTAACCCCTCCCTATCCTTCCTAATCTCCTGGATGTTCCGATGTAAAAACAACTCACTTGTAACTTGAATTCGCTGAATATTTCTCCAGTGTCGTCGTGGAAATTGACGGCCACTGTCTCCATCCAAGCGTTGTCCGTGTTTCTGGGATCATCAACGTAACCTTTATACACCTGGAAACACAAAAAAGGTTAGTTGTTGCTATGGCCTGAAACGTATCTTTCTCTAATAGTAAAGGGTAAATAAAATCATCGAGTCACCTCAACTCCGTTATGAAAGAGTCTGTCGATTTGCCGGCTGATTTTCTCTCTTTCCGCGTCTGTAACACTGAGCTTTGCCATAGCCTCTTCTCCAAACTCCGCCTTTAGAACCTGAGTCACGACTTGCCCCGGTTCGACCATACCCTGAAAGGAAAAAAAATGAATGGATGCATTAACGAAGAAAGGAACGAACGAATTAGTGCACGAACAGACGAAAGGACGAACCAACAAACAAACGACAGACCGATCGACCGACCTAACGATCGGTGTGAGTGATCCGAGAGGGGGAAGATGTACTGAAAAGTGCGATTATTAATAGAAAGTAAAAATCAAAAACCATACAACAACAACAACTTCTTAAAGCTACTTGAGAAAAAAAGCCCTGAACTCACCCCTGGTATTGCCCACTGACTATTGTCCTTCCTTTGAATTGCAACAAACTCAAGAACTTTTTTCCCTCCGTCTAACAAGACACCGCCACTGGTTCGCTTCCACCTAATAAATATCAAAGAAAAAAAACACATATGTAATTGCCCTACAAAGAAAAAGCAAAATAACAACGAAGCTTCTAATTGCGGTGGAAAAGAACAAACTTGTAAGATCGTAGAGCTCAAGAGTGTAAAGACGGGGGGATGAACTCCCACAAACACGTGACGAAAATACTTCAGAAAGTCATGCACAGAAACTCCAACTAGTGACATGGGCGTGGTTGGCTGCCTCACAACGTCAACACTAGCCTTCCTTTACCAATATCCAACATTTATTTGTGGCAAGATACTGTTTCCGTTAGAATTATAGATATGTATAACACCATTGTCTTTTCATTACCGTGTGACAATAGGATCAGCGGCGTGATTGGGACCGAATCGTCCCAGGAGTCCTCTTCCTGTGATGCCGGTGCGGCCCATAGGATTACTGGTGAGAGGGAAAAACAGGTATCAATTTACGGCGTCTTTCCACCAATAAAACGGCAAGTTTCACTGTCTTGCTCCGTTGGTGCATTACCTACCCGTTCGACAAGACCTGAATTTTTCTTCCATACTATTTTGCAAAATTGGAGTGCACATAAAAGTCAAACTGACCATTCCGGAAGGAATGCCTTCCCTCTTGTCACGCTACCATACAAAACTGGAATGTTTTCACGTAGCTAACTCATCGAAAAATTCTATAACCCATTTGACCCACCCTAGTGAGACTGCTGAATGATCAATCGCGCTAGAAAGGTGTCGTACAGCGATGTCACAGGTTACCCAGCAACCAGTTGAAAGTGAATATCTCACAACATAAAAACACTTTCGCATATATACATACAGCGGTAGTCCGTCTTTCACTCGGTAGGATCCCATGTGACTAGCACGGTTTACTTTGTATTCATCGTCGAGCCTGTTGTAGGCCAGCGGTGGACGAGCTGAGGGATGCCTAAAATGAACAACATAAATGACTAATATAACTAACCATGGTAACATATAAAACACAACACCACATGAACTCATGGGACGTGTGTGACCAGAAGCTTGGTGCTCAACAATGCACCCTTTTACACTAGTTAATATTTTTATTTTTTTATTTGCTGTACGATGGGAAAATCTTCTATGAAAAATGACCCTGAGGTGAAAAAATGGATTAAATAACAATTCAAACTTAGTTGGGTGTGGTTGTCTCTCTGTCATAAACTATCACGTTGACCAATCACAACGCATGTTATATTGATGCCTTGGTATAAAGCAACTTACATGCTCATTAAGTCGTCATCAGCCCACGAAGGTTTCTTCAGAACAACGGGGGCGGTATAATTTACGGGACTGTAATCTGGGAAGTCCACCTTCAAATAAAATCGTGTATTACTTAAATATACAAAAACAATGAACAGGAAAATCACAACTTCAGGTGGACCATAATGGTTTGTAAGGAGTAAAACAGTGACCATACAATACCGGCTAACACCACGCGAAAATTCTAGCGCGGAGACACAATCACCTTCAAGAAGCGGAACACGCGTCATCAGCAAGAAGCGCGGGAAAACATACGCGTCGACCAAAAGCGGTAATGTCAACAACGAAAAAAGCGGGAAAATGCAGTTGGGCACTGGGGCATTAAAACTTGTACTTTTAACAGCCCTTTTGGACAGTAGAAATCATTAGACAAAATGTGTTTGGCGCGGGAGAACGCAGGGGCGGAAAACATCAACTGTAAGAAGAATAGTCACTCACTTCCCAGAGCACTTTGTCATCCGGAACCTGAAATCTCTTCACAGTGGATACCGGGTAGGGTGTTGCGCGTGCCTTATCATGGATGAACGCTGGAGCTACAGGACGAAGATCAAGAATGTTGGCGGGCGCAGGTTCTAGAATGAAAAATATCAAAATCATCTATTTTGACCATAGACTCAACAACCTAGTCATAAGAGGCAAATATTTTATCACAAATCTTAAAAGTTTCTCGTGATCTTCGACAACTAACTAAAGCAAAAACCTAGATTTTCCGGTCTTTTTTCTATGGGTTGATAGTTAGCAAATGAGTCAGCCAATTAAAACGCGGGATTTACAGTATAGACGTTTTGCACAGCAGCCATGTTGGATGGCAGGAACAATAGATTATTTTTCCCATGGGAAAAAAATTTCTTTCTTATGCAAAATATTTTCATTGTTCCTGCCATGCAGCATGGCTGCCATGCAAAACCTCTATAATGCTGATAAGTCTGTTTATAGTACTAAAAAATTGCATACACTCACGTGATGACGGCACGAAGGACGTCTGGACCTAAAAATATGAAAAATATTGTGAGCATACCTTCAACTCGGCATAGTTTTAGAATTATAAATCTGAATTAGCTCCATGGGAATAAAGGAAATTATCGCCAAGATGAAGAAGCTCCAGATTGTTAAAAGAACCTCTTAGTCATTACTACAGGGAACGGAAAGAGAACAGTATGAAAAAAAAAAAAACACCTTTTGATTATGAACCAAATCCACCAACGTCTCCATCGTTTCTAATATCGATGCCACGTTGCCCTCCATTCGTGCCAGTCTCCGCTCTAAAGCACCAGTGTCACGCGTAGGTGGTCTAAAATCCAAATTTGGCTGAGCAACTCCGGGAGCGCCCTCAGAGTCCACTGTACTTGTGTCCAGCACACTTTCCATTATACGGTCAAGCTTGACAGTTGCGTCATTTACCCTGTTAGAACAAACATGGGCAAGAAGAGAGGGATGTCGAAAAGTTTTCACGAGCGTAGGACAAACATAATAAAAATCTGAGTTTGAACCTCGAACCTTCCGAACTTGCTTTCAAATACTCTAATCAGCTGATCTTGAGGAAGTTCTATGGTGGGCTAAGACCAACAGGTTCATATGTATCAAGCATCCAGGATGACACAGTGGCAAAATGAGTGCGCATGCTCGGCGGATTTGGCGCGGTCGAGGAGCGTTTAGTGATTCTTGCGTGAATGAATTTCGTTGGGAACGAAGAGATCATCGTTTTAGACTTTTTGAACTGTCATTGATGTGAACCAAGTGGACAATTTAATGGAGCTTGTTCTGATGGAGAAGTCTAAAGGCTAAGTAGCTTTCTTTTAATTATACTTCATCGTAAGCTGTTTTCAATGAAATTAACAGACTGGAAGATCGACTGTTTTGGAAGTCGTGCAACATGTCTTCAAATCAACTCCTTGAGTAAATTAGAATCTTTCTGAGAATTGCTATGTTCATCACACAACACCACACACCTGTCCCCTAGTGTACAGACTCTTTTTTCCAATGTGTTTTTCTCCTCTGTTCGTTTCGTGTGAAGGAAATACTCCGCTCCTTGAAACTCCCAGTTCTCAAGTTGTTCCTTCTCGTAATCACTTAATTTAATTTCTGCAAATAAAAAGGAAAATGCTTATTTTGTACTTTCGAAGAGACGCTCACAGATTGGAGCCAGTATTCCCCGATGAAAAAACAATTTTGTGTATTGTTATTCTAGACACTTTAAGCTTTTGAACTTGTTTCTTTCAACAATATCTTTCTTTCTGGAAACTGACTCTTGCCATCAAGCTTTAGATGAACATTTTAGTTTCAGTCTAAGGATCAAAATATAAAACTGTCGAAATACAATTTTGGCTTAGAGTTTCTCATGTGAACTGTTTTCGGTGAATGGGGAAGTTGGACATGAGCCTTTTGGCACGGGTTAAACTAAATGACTACCCAAACACATTTTTCTATTACTCAGTTGTTTAGTACATAATGTTGTTAACGTTGGAGTGCTTAGGTCTAGTGAAATATTTTCGTTTAGCGAAAGTTACTTTTCTGCCTGAAAACCCGATAATCACGCCAGAGATAGATCCAAACCATAATATTACTTCCAAGATATGCTTGTTAATTCTTCCCCCCGAATCCCATACATTTCTTTATACATTAGTTACAAGAATATGAAGTTTGATGAGAAAACAACCTCTACTGGATAATTTGGATATATCAAGAAAGTTGAAATGGTAAATTGCCCACCGTAACGATTACAAAAGCTGAAGTTTCGAGCGTTAGCCCTTCGTTGGAGCGAATACTGGATAAGTTTAGGTATTCTCATTACATGTTTGCTGGATAATGACTGGATACTAAAGGGAGAAGTTATATATTAGTGAACTACTCCTTGCTTCCATTTTAGTTCACATTAGCTCACAGCTGAGTTGTCAGATATTCGCTGCACCCCGAACCAAAATTCAGTTGTCGCTCAGTTATAGATATCAGACTCAGCTACTAAAATGTCAGACCCGTCGGTAAATACGTACTCATAGAGCTGACCGCGGGAGGATTTCCACAGCGGCACAGCCGCCATATCCACCTGATGAATATCAAGACGTGAGAGATGAAGATCAAAGGAGGGAAGATCAGCGGTCTTCCGTGATATTCTGCGATCAGTTCATATCGCTGGAACTTCCATACTTTGTCTGAATCTTCTTGCACTCTCTCGAAGGTATAACTTAGAACGAACGAAAAGGAAATTCATCAAAGGTTGAATGGTTAAGCCGCACAAGGTTAGAGCCTTCGAAAAACCAAAAGCAAAGTAATCACAGGTGGTAACTCAAATCATAGTTAGTAGAGATCTCCCTCTACTAACTATGCTCAAACATACGCAAAAAGACAAAACACCCACATAACCAAGAGAAATACGAGTTTTTTAGTAAACTGTGGATTCTCGCCAAAAGAAAACCATCCAGAGGCTATAAAATACTATTACAAAAGCATGGGAAGAATTTAAATTACCTGAAAATGGCGATGAGAAGATTAAGTAGAAGAACATTCGTGAACAACATGTAGCCAGCTAAGAGTGCTGGTGATAACCATTTAGCAGTGGGATGAACCTCGAAATACTCTGCTGGCTTTTGACCTGAAAACACACACACACACACACACACACACACAAAAAAAAAAAACAAAAACAGAAAGTTCAAAGCTTTGCTTGAATCATACTCACCCTTTGTTAGATCTTATAAAGTTTTATCCAATCACAGCTAGCCTACGAGCAGGCTGATGAAATTATATATTCCATAACCTGTTTGCTAGATAACATATCCATATCGTAAAGGAAAAGTTACATTTTAATCACATAGGGAAGTAAGAGGAATAATTCAGCTACCTGAAATTTCTTCGAGAAAGAGTTCTCCATACATCTGCCAGTAAGGTAAGTCCAGTATTCCACGGATCACCTGATCCCAGGTCTTTGAGAACGGTCCGGGGCCTGGGAATGTCACCGCTTGCAGTGCGATTCCATAGGCGATAATAAATATGGCCAAAATTATTACAAACTGCTTCAGATCCTCAAGCTTTGAAAAAAAAGAAAAAAAAAAGATGTATTTCAAAAATACTAACTTTGCAATAACACAAAGCAGAACTAAGAGTTAACCGCAAATAACGTAAAGGGGCTTTTAGGGCCCTTAACTAAGAATATCTTTTCGGTACATATCGCGGTTGTTGAACACAATTGAAGAAAATTTTCGAATGGTCAAGTTATAAACCTCCTATCAACCGAGCTCGAGGTTTGTACTGTAAGTTACGAACCGCGTTTTCCGCTCGGATTTGTGGCCAAAGCGCGAAAAACGACGTTTCGTAATTTACAATACGGACAGAGAAATCGAGGTCAGTAAGATATCGATTATATCGCTAGGTTAAAAAAAAAATTGGGGAAGTCTTCTTTGTAAATAAACTTTTGAATTTTGCAAGCCGCATAATGAAATACGGCCCACTAAATTGACTAGTCGAAGAGCACGTAGCCCATCTCCATGGAAACAGAAAAACGTCACACGGTCTTACCATTTTCCTAATCATGACAAGTTTAGGACCGAGCTGTCTGTTGACAGACACGATCTGAAGGGAACGCACGATAAACACTATGATATTCAGCGAAAGAGTGATCCGAGCAGCTTCATAGGTTGAATCGAAAAAACGCAAACAAGCTGCCACCACAAAAGCCAGGAGCGCGAATGTGTCGACGCGATTCCAGGTGTCGCTGAAATAAACTCTGAGCTTGTCACCAAAAGTTTTCGGTTGTTGAGCCGCTAGCTGAGAAAGAGAAAAGAAAAAAGAATCAGCTTAAGATTAAAATCAGTACATTTTGGAGAGAAACTTCGCAAGGGAGAAATTCAACATGCTCTTTTGCGCCCTTTAGAAACCAAGAAAGGTTCTAGCAGTTTTGACCCCCCCCCCCCC